GGATCGCCAACAACCACATTAAATTAAATTTCATTAAAAGTTGCACGATTGAAATATAAAGCGATGAAGGGATCTTAACAGACACTCACATGGTGTATTCCCATCGTTCAAAGCTGTGTGACAAGGGCATTTGAGATCTGGTCTACCCCCTAAACGACAGTGTTACAAACACCGATGACATGCATGTGTCACGCGAACAATCGTTCGTACGTATCCTCGGGGGCGGAGCTACGTCACAAGACGTTCCACGTTGCTAAGACGCGCACCACTGTACATGCATTTCTATGGGCTCTTTTCGCGCTGCTGTGAAATGCCGGTCGAGCCGGTGAAAATTCGAGAAAACAACACAAACTCAACTTTGAAGTAATCCTGAACAACCAAATTTAGATATGTTACACACGTAGGGCTAATCGTGTTATACTGTTCAGGGGAGTCTCAACCAACATCCCAAAGTATCGTTTTCTGCGAGTTTTTGGCCTTTGTTTTCACCGCCAGGGTTGCCAAGCGGTGAAAATGCCCGGATGTCCGCCCCGAGGATACGCTAAACCTTCCCGTGGGGTCGTCGCACATGCGCAGTGAAGTTCATGAATTTTGGACGTGTTATTTGCGTTATACATGCCGTCAGGTGTAGTTAAGTAGATTCTCGAATATATAATGTTTTGTTCAATGAAAATAAACGTTCCGCTAGTAGTATATGGTGTCTATGTCACCAGGAAACGATGGAAACTCTAACTATTATTGAAATAATGAATTGAAATTGGTACGTATACCTCGAAACTAAGAAGTTTTCGCTACGGAAGCTTCGAACACACACACGTTTTATTTATCGATTGAGTCCTAGTAGTTATATATATTGATATTTAAATTATTCACTAGCTCGTAAGTTGCCAGCACAGTTTATTTTTATGTAATAGTTTTAACTCGCACGTTTCAAGCACGGCGCATTTTTATTTATTTAAACAATAATGTAACTTTAAGCGACATATACGAGCCGAGTACATGGCACGCCGTCTCGCTGTCGGTCGCGGCCTTGCTACGCTTGATAGCCGATATGAACCGGCTGGATCGACTGTGCGTAGCGATGCATACCGGGGTACATGTCGTATCGTTAACCCACCACTCGCGTGTTTTCAAACCATCAAGGTAAATGTTATTGGCAACTGCCCTGTAACTGTAGTTATTTTTAAATTCTACAGGAGGCCGGCGATTTGAAGAATACTTTCGGATACGGATACTTTCATTTGTTTATGCAAACTGTGACCCGAACTGTATCATTTACCGGGAAGTCAACGCTGAGGAAATACAAGTCACGTCGGTCTTTCGTCGGTCTCGTTTCGCAAATAGTGTAATACTACTAACTACAAAAACAGGAGAAATTCATCGCACTCTGTGGACATACCCCACCTTGTTTATCGCATTTGCTTGGATGAATACCCCGGTCTAGTTAACCTTAGTTCATCGACACCTGGCGACCTATTCGGTTGGCCACCAGGACAGCGGCTACAGTCGCGGAATCTAGAAGCGCGAGTACGGAACGCTTCGACCGAGCGCGCTTTAGCGTACATAACAGACGACGGTGCCCTCACAAAGTTGTCTGATTTCGATATTGAAATCCGCTGTTGTTGGCAATGGATCATTTTATTTGATGCTGACTTTTGTATTAAATACTTGTTATCTAACAATCTCTCTTTTTTTTTAAAAGGTTTCTCCTTTATTCGTTTTCAAAAAAACATTTACTGCATTCACATCCATGGTACCGGGTCTTGATGCTCAATAATGGGATACATGCCTTATCGCGAATAATCTGCTGCCATGGCGTCATAAAATCCACTGGTATTTATATTGCTATAATATAATTACTAGTTACTTGTATATACTATATATGTCTATGACAATAGATATGACAAATAATTCATGATTTCCGAGCTTTTCGTAAAGAAAAACGTTTCCATTTCTAACGTAAGCGGGCGCACGCGATTGGATTCCTACGCTACGACGGTTTATCAGAACGTAAGGGGCGCAATATAGTGAAACCTATTTAATACATCTGTATCATTCCATACTAAATGTTCAATATTCAAATACTTGAATCAAGAAGTAATTCACAATAAATTATTCATTTTATTTTGAATTTATTCAATCAGAAATTATTTGTCACAGCTAACAACTGAAAAGTTGCATCACCACAGTCCAGCATTACAGTGCTTGTTTCTTGTCTTCGGATTTTTTTCTCAGACATAGGCGTTACTGTTTTACAGTAACACAACTGTTTTTGTCCTTGCATGTAATTTCTTGTACCCGTTGGAGACTAAAAGATAGTACACGAGTATCGTTTTCTTAATGTAAAGGCGGCTACCTTGCTACATTCGCACCAATCAATGAATAAAACATGGAGTTTCTGGCATTCTTGTAAAATTCATCATTGTTGAGCGGCAAAATCAAACATTTTGCCGAATATCAATGGATTGGGAATAATGACATTCCATGTCATATTTGCTCCTTATTTTTTAAATATTTTTCTGTTTTTCAAATAATATGTTAGTAATGAAGTACTTGGCACCGTCGACATTTCATATAGATAGTTCTGCGCAAAATTTTTCAAATGAACGAATTCAAGCGGTTGAGATGCGATTCAGCTAATTCACTTTCCTCAATGTAGCAATTGATTTTTGAATCCACCGTCCGGGAACTCCGAACAGTTCGAACTCCGCGAATGACGGATTTGCAGCGCCCTACACCGTAACACCAGCACGGAGCGTTTGAAGGTACTTGGAAAAGGTCAATTGTTCTAAATAAAACATTACATATTTCTTTTTTTTACAGACTTGGATTGGATTAACTGGGCCAAAAGAAAACATGAAAAATGGTTAAATTTAGTTGAAGATTGGTTCAAATCGGGGAAATTATTCCTGGTTGTCCATTACGAAGATATTGTGAAGAATCCATTAGAGGAGGTGGAAAGGATGCTGAACTTCCTGAATATAACATTCACCCCAGAACGCCGCAATTGCGTACAAAACGACATTGAAGGAGCGTTTCACAAACAGCACAAAGAGCAATTTAGGTTTGACCCATTCACCAAGGAATTACATAGGCTTATTAATACAGACATTCAAATAGTAAATAGACTACTGCAGAGCAGAAATGAGACACCTATTCCCGAACCAACCTATGACAATGAATTACGTAAAATAAATTTACAGAAGTCAAAGCGCAACCTGAAAAATTGAATGTACAATCGTCATGAAATAAATACAGCCAACATCACAGGAAAGCGGGGGTATTGTAAGGGCGTAGCTATCGCGTGGTGTATACACATATATACAATGAATATATGAAATTCCTAGCGCAGCTCGACGTAATTACTCATGAAATAAAAATAGGAAATAGACAATTCCTTCACAACAGTCCGATGTTCCGGATTGTTCCCCACTAACACAATAGTAACTTCAATTTAATATAAAGTAGCAGGCAAAGTTAACACAATGCTTCTATCCACATATGATTACCTGGTTTCCCCCCATAGGATGACGAAAGCCACTCAACAGCAGTATACGATCTACTGACTCGACTGTATGTTATTGCAGAATGACCATGTGAATAAATATCAATATATTAAATACTGTAGCAAAAAAGTGATAATAAACATTCACAAAATTGCGCGGAATTTTGCTAGATGGTACCATTTTCATCACTGCAATGGAGTCGACACATCTTGAAATCAGCAGTAATGTTCGACCCTCAATATCAACGTGACAACAGATGTTCACTGACTCAATAATAATGTAAGCCACGTGATGAAACATACGCATAAGAGTTAAATTGTTGACCCTATGAATGAAAGTACCACTCTCTACCAACTGTGCTATTAACAGGACTACTCTTGTTTAGACTATAGTGTTAGCTTTTGCAAAATGCTTATTGTCTGCGTGTCTAAAATTACACTGGAATAATATTTATAAAGTATATTCATAACGTCAGAAGTTATTTGTTTCACACATGATCTCGTGAATTCATTTCAGTTAGTTCAGGTTTTTCCACAGAATTTAAAATCTTAAATTAAATATTTAAAATATTTCATCTTAGGTGTAGTGTGAAGGCTTCCCAAGTTTAGTGGCGAATTATTGGCATTGGTGTGACGTAGCGCTTTTTTTGTCGAATAGCAGTGTGTTGTTGTTGAGAAAGTCAAACATCTTTTTGGATGGTTGAGTGTGTTATTGTTTGAAGTGACGCAATCAGAGTCATGCCATTTCTCTGTCTTGTTTCTAGCAATACATATCAACAACAACACAACTCTGATCACTTCCCTGATATGTAAATCACATTCAAACCGAATTGCCACACAATCGTCAATTAGAGCAAGCGTTGCCAATCTGTCTATCCCAAGTAAAACAAAAACCAACAAAAATCACCAGACTTAAAGATATCACGCATTTAAATTAGGCTTAAATTTATACTACAATTTTCCCCGTCACTAGAAAACAGCTAATATTCACACCACACGCCAACTCAATCGGGAATTATTTTTATAAACGATTGTCTTTTCTGGGAGTAATTTCGAATGTTAGGCGAACGTTAGAAGGGCAAATGATATCCTTGCGCGAGGGCCATAACGCCCATATTCGGGCTGTAATATTTGTTTTACATTCCATTAATAACATAAAGAATACAGGGTTTATATCTTAATATTTAAAGGTAATTCTTATTTGTCATAAGCAGTAACAAAGTTTTGCATGCAATTGCGTTAATCGATAAGTTTGGCACTGCGGATGGATATGTTTACGCATCCTGTTAACCGGCCCCCTTGACAACCCGCAGACGATAATGGCTGCAGCAGACGAAATGGATATTATGCAGTGGTAGGACAGGGCCAACTTGATGAAAATCTTGGACCAGCACCAGAAAATGAAGTATCAGACGAAGCGGACGGTTTTATAAAAGCACACAGAAGCAAAGTACCGTTAAAACCACCGAACGTGATGTCCGTCGCTGTACTTAGTTGCTAACTCAGAATACCGGAGAATTGCGGCGCCTGGAAGACATACCACGAGTCGAGTTGAATGAGCTTCTGAGCAAAATTTTCAGCAGCATAAAGAAGAAGGACGGAGACGAACATGAGCCAGCTTCCCTCACCAATATGAAGTGTAGTTTGGAGCGCTATCACCCACGCATGTTAAATCACGCAAATTCAGTCGTTTACGGGTTGTTGACACTACCTCAGAATTCAGCCAGGAAGCTCATGTATCCGATGTGAGTTGTTTTACATGTATTGTTGTAACATTGTATTTGTGTGTGGTTGCAAACTTAAATTAAAATATTGAATATTAACATCATCATGTTTGTATTTTTTATTTTTTATAAATTTTCTACAAGCAAACGAAAGTATTTCTTTGCGAATTTATTTTATCATTGGTCCTCTCTGTTACTGTTAACGACGGTCCGTAAATGGCTCACTGGACCGCAAAAATCCCCGGATGTTCCTATTTTAAAGTGTGTGTTTGATTGGCGGGCGGATGAAGGCATGTAATAAAACATTTCCTATGGTACAAAGGACGCAATACATATCTTTCTCTCTTTATCATAGGTAGTATAGATGTGATATTATTAAAAAATAGATATGTGTTGCTGTATTTCCCATCATGTCTACACTGTATAAACTGTTAACGTAGTCAGCGGGATTCAAACCTACACAGTAAGAGCTCATTGAAATGTTAGTCTATCGCCCCAACCACTCGGCCACGACTACTGCTATGTTGTACTGTTTAACATAGCAATGGGATCGACAAATGTTGGAATCATCACATAAGTTATGTGCGCCAACATTGATATCAACAATAGACGTTTACTGTCTCAATGAAACTTTCAAATAATTCAAAATTAGGCTATATAAGGGAATTGTGTTTATTGCTACACTTGCATATCGAGTATACATACCCTAAATAGACGTAGTCGGCAGGATTCTAAGCTGCGAGGCAGAGCCCAATAGATTTCTAATCCATCGCCTTAACCACTCGGCCACGACTACTGCTTTGTTTTTCTGTTTAACACAGCAATGGAATCGACAAATTTTCGATTCATCGAGTAAATAATTTCCAAAAACATTGATATCAACAATAGACGTTTTAAGTCTCAAAGTAACTGTCAAATAATACAAAATACGCCAAGTACGGGCATTGCTATACTTACATTTCGAGTACACATCCTAAAGATGTAGTCGGCAGGATTCGAAGCTGCGTGGGTAGAGCCCAATGGATTTCTAATTCATCGTTCGGCCACGACTACTGCTATGTTGTTTGCACACATTTTCGAAAGCATTGATTACAATAGACGTTTACTGTCTTAATAAACTGTCAAATATTTCAAAATACGGATTGAGTGTATTGCTACTTTTCGCCCATTTCGATTCCACACAAACGCTAAATGGAATTATTCGAATCTGGTAATTCAATATTACAACTTCACAGCTCCGCCAATAGAATAATAGCTATGAAAAAAATAATCTAATGATTAGATCACATGGAATTAACGCCTGTCTAGCGCCGCATCATTTAGCTTACTAAGTCGAGCATTGATAACATCACCGTGCATGTTTAATTCCATCGGTTATTAAACTTGTAACAGGTACATGTTATGCACACTCGCAAAATATATTAATATATAAAGCGGTTTATTATTAAAAATACTAAAATCAATAAATCGCTACATGCACAGTAATTGAGACGTGTGTGAGCGTTTTCTTCTAATAAATATCCTGCATACAGTCGTTGGTAAGTATTAATTGTGTATATTATAGATGCACACCGTAGACGGCATACAGAAGTGTCATATATATGAACACTTATATAGTCAGGTGTTTATTTTTTTAATATTGGAACATTGCATATGTGTTTGTATTTGAAAATAAAACAGTTTAGGAGAAAATGTTTAGTTACTCTTATAAATTAGTGAGCATGTCGTATACATACACACTTACCAGTATGAAACCTGCGTAGTCAGATGTGTTACCTTGAAACATTGCACGTGTTTGTTTGTTTGTTTTAGAAAGTGCTTCAGGATAAAACAATTTAGAAGAAAAGTGTTTTGTTATTCTCATGAATACAAATGTGCCTCATGCATAGTTTAAACATCGTCGGCGATTTGCTTTCTGGGGTTTTTCAAATTGAACAAAAAGATATAAATCACATGTGAATGCTCAGACGTTATTAGAACTACAACCATGGTCCACCACATGCAGAGTATTAAAATCCATCGGGCCATAATGTACTTATTTTACCACCGATTTGCGGTTGTACTCATAGGTTTATAAGACCATATAAGCGTGCATACAACCATTTCTTCTACAACCTGGTGCTTTACATAAAACTATTTTCTGAAAGTAATGTCATGATCATCCAATTGTGCTTTGAATTACGTCACCTTCGGTGATTGTCTAATTGGCTTATATGCCAGACATGTCACTCAATTTTGTTAACACTACTTTCATAAAAGTTAATCCATAAATGTCTTGACAATAAACACTTTAGGCACAATTATGTCGCTGTGAAACGCATGTTTTATTTTGAAAAAGTGTATTTTTATGTGTTCACAATAGGCTTTATAATAAATCTTTTAATAAATCCCCCAAAACACTACACATGTTTTAATTGTAACAATGGATTTCAATTAAAACACTGTGTTTAATGAAAAAATAAAAGTGCTCCAAAGATTTACAGATTAGATAATTTTGAGTATGTAAAAAAATTAGAAGATAAATCAGAAATTCCCGCAACGACTTGAATCATGTGGAAAATATTTCTACTTAGATGGAACGCCTCAAAACAGCCATTTTGAAAATCGGTATACGTTTTGTCGAGAAGAAAACACAGATTATGGGAAAAAATCAAATATGTATACACAATATCGGTTAAATTTCCTGATTAAAACCATTCTAAACTTTAAAAACTTAAAGATGAACTTGACGGCACTGTTAAATAAGAAACCAAGTGAGCCGCTATTCGCAACACAGCCTAGTTTTTTGAAGAAGACAGAAACAAACGAATTATTTTCTCACTTTATAAAAAAAAACGTAAAAAAAATAAAACCTATTAAATCTTCGATTGGTTGGCGAAAAATCGAGACAAACAATATATCGAATACTGTAACAATTCTTACCTATATTTATCAATTTTATTCCAACCTATATAATACTGATACATCTTTGGATTTAAGTAATCTGTAAGTCTGATGAATT